GCTGAAGCGGGCGCCGCACTGCCCGCAGCGGAAGGGTTTCTCGCCGGTGTGGGTCCGCTGGTGCTCCAGGAGGGTGGACCCTCGGCTGAAGGCTTTGCCGCACTCGCCGCAGGCGTGGGGCTTGGCCCCGGCGTGGCCCTTGCGGTGTTCCAGCAGGGACGAGCTCCAGCCGAAAGCCTTGCCGCATTCCCCGCAGCGGTAGGGCCGCTCGCCCGTGTGCACCCGCCGGTGCTTCAGGAGGTTGGAGCTCTGGGCAAAGGCTTTGCCGCACTCGCCGCAGCGGTAGGGGCGCGGGGTGGCCTCCCCGCCCCCGTCTTCAGCCTCTTCTTCCTCCTCCTCCTCCTCCTCACCTGCAAGAGAGGGGGACAGCGGGGGTCACCCCTGCCTCGGTTTCCCCAACCCGCACGGCTGACACGACGGCAAGGACTCACCCGGCAGCAGCTCGCCGGCGGTGGCAGTTCGCCGGCAGTGGCGGGTCCTGGCGGCGGCGGCGGGGAGCTGCGGAGGAAAACGGGGTTGGCTGGTGGTGGCACCCGTGGGGACGTGGCCCCCAGGGTGGGGGGAGACGCTGGGGACGTCGGTTTTGGGGTGAAGGACGTTGTTCTTGGGGTGAAGGAGATGCCGGGAGGTGGGGGCATCACCTTGGGGACATCATCCTGGGGACACTGGTCTTGGGGACATGGGCCTTGGGGCGAGGGAGACCCTAGGACATGGGGCCAGTGGTCTTGGGGTGAAGGAGATCCTGGGACACGGGGACATTGGTCCCGGGGACGTCAGTCTTGGGGCGAGGGAGACCCTGGGAGGTGGGACATCACCTTGGGGACAGTGTGGTGGCCCTGGGGATGTCCCCAGTGAACGGGGTCACGCCAGGGCTCAAGGGCCCCACGTCCTCATCCCCCGTGTCCCCATCCTCGCCTCTGTGACCCAGCCCTGTCCTCATTCCCATGCTGCCACGTCCCCGTCCCCGTGTCCCCATCCTCGCGTCCCTGTCCCCACGTCCCTCTCCCCATCCCCGTGTCCCTGTCCCCTTCCCGGTCCCCACGTCCCCATCCCCGTGTCCCCATGTCCCTGTCCCCTTCCCAGTCCCCACGTCCCCATCCCTGTGCCCCTGTCCCCATCCCAGTCTCCATGTCCCCACCCCTGTGTCCCTGTCCCCACGTCCCCGTTCCCACGTCCCCGTCCCCATGTCCCCATCCCAGTCCCCATGTCCCCACCCCCCTGCCC